AACCGAGGATGACATAACTGTCCTAATTGGTTCCGATGCGTTCGTGTGCAGTTACTCCTGGCAGACAGGAGATCATTCGGGATTCATCCATGACGTAAAATGTTTGTGACTAGAACTGCAGCATCAATACCCAACAAAGCATAGTCTATTGTCGTCTGCTCGTCTGCGGTGTTTTGATTACATTTTGCAGGACCACTAAGCCAGTTCAGGGTTAACAAGGTTTATAGAAATTGATAAGAAATGGTTTATAAGCTAATTTTTAATGCTTTTAAGCAATCAATTCATTTATAAGATGGCACAAAGCGTTATATATCCCTAACCTTTGAAATGCGTTCATTTAATTTGTTTAAAAGGTAAACAAAATTGATAAAGATGAGGAATTTTAAAACATTTTAACCATGTTTTTTTAAGTTTTATAATGTCTAAACACAAATCAATGAATTAAACTAGAATGCTCAATTGATTTGGAACCATCATTTTGAATAAGCTCTAAATACATGTAACGTATCGTAGCTTACCAAATGTTCCTCTTAGAAGGGCTAGTGTTATAGTTCCCTTGGTGGTTGTATCTTTAGGATTTTACGAGACAACACACTCCGGGCAACAACATATGGTTTAAATCGTATTTTACAATTGCGTGTTTCAAATAACATTTAGTTCTGTTTGGATCTCAGAAATACTTTTGAACCTCAGTGTCTAAAAAATATAAACAAATTTGGGAAATGCATTCTCAAGCAAATGCATTGCAGAAAGGCTCCAGTCACTATATAACGCAATGATTGGCAAATAACTTTGCATAGTATACGGTGTGAATGACACTGTTCTCAAAGTATTTGTGAATGCCTATTCGGTAGTTTTTCGAATAATTCTAAAAATTGTTCCCTTCATTTAACAACGACAATTACTTCACAACAAACTAAATCGTATTTATGCACGATTTTTATTACATTTTACCTCTGAAATATAATTTTTGTGATGAACTATTGTTGATATATATATATTCTACGATGACAAATAACAAGTTTTGTTATCCGCGCAGTAAACCAACTAATTAAAAAGCAGGGTTTAGTATGAAAAGCATACAAACAAATAAATGGACTTTCCGTTCAAGGAAGCCCCTGTTTTAATGACAGAAAACGTAATTAACAGAATAATTTTGATGACGTCATCAATAACCACCATGTTTAACTCGTAGGTTGATTTTTGTTCACTCGATCTTCTCACTTAAGAAAAATAATAATAATAATAATAATCGAGGTTCTTTTATTCCACTTTATCACAACCTAGATCGTAGGTCGTCTTAAAGCGGTTCACAAATTATTATCCTCGGTTATAGGGCCTTTGCAACCAGCCAATATCTTTTTCAACTCCCTGGGAAGTATACAGCCAGTGCTGCCATTTCGGCGCTCACAGCTAGCATTCTATTATTCTAGCACTGCCCTACCACGTACTCGTTTACAGCTGAGTAGACTGGAGCAAGCGGAGTAAAGTATCTTGCTCAAAGATACAACACAGTGCCGTGCCGTGACTCCAACCCGCAACCCTTCGGTCACGAGCCCGGCGTCCTACCCCTAGACTGCCGTGTCTAACAACCCTTCGGTCACGAGCCCGGCATCCTACCACTAGACTACCGTGTCTCGCAACCCTTCGGTCACGAGCCCGGCGTCCTACCCCTAGACTGCCGTGTCTAACAACCCTTCGGGCACGAGCCCGGCATCCTACCACTAGACTACCGTGCCTCCTGTAGCCCGGCGTCCTACCACTAGACTACCGTGCCTCCAACATATCAGAGGATTCACCCCATTCGTAGAACTGTTCTTCATTGACAAACCAACGTTACCCTATACATAATAATGAAAACGTTTTCTATGCCCTATTTTGTAAAAATAAAAGGTCGAGTTCCAATTCGCGTGCGTCATTATCAATACACTTATGACACTTCTACGCTATGACGATCAAATAAAACGATATTGTAAAGGCATATTTCTTATGGATGAGGTAAAATTAATTTTAATAAAACGTCACTTAATGTCATATGAAATTACCTCTCGTCACATAACGTAGTCTATGTAACACAATGGGACAAATAAATGTACGATATAGGTGAATTCATTAACATCTGCTAGAACAAAAAATATCCTATAAAACAATTGTATGAATTAATTAATAAAACTCCGGCATTATCTAATCCTGTCATTTGGTAGGCGTCATGTAATACTTATTGTTGACACAAATGTGGTATAGTATATGTCATTAAATCAAGTATCAAAGAAGATATGTGTATAATATAGATACTTGCCGGTACATAGGAAATATCGTGTCTGATGGTAAAACGTTATAATTGTTGACACACATGTGGTATATGATCTGTCATTAAATCAAGTCTCAAGGATATGTGTATAATATTTTGGAGATACTCGCCGGAACATAAGAAATATCTTTTTTGTGGTGACACTTTGTGTATAGAAAAGTGTTTATTGTGGTAAGACGCCTGGTGATGTGGCAAGTAATTGATTATATGAATGTTAGTGAGGATTTCATACGGATAATAAAACGTCATATTTTTATTTTACGAACGTTAATATCAACTCAAATATTTTCTATTGTCTTTCATCGTGAGCTACTTTTAATGATTGATTATCTGTTTCATTCAAGAAAAAAAAATTGTATGGACTATCAGTGATGTTTCTCGTTTACAAGTTTTTATCCAGCGACGCGTATTTATTTATTAATCGGATATCATGTTATAAGTTGCTCTAATACTTAATTTGATGATGAGAGTTATGTGTATAATTGTTCATGAATACTAATTTATATCAACTCCCCCCACCCCACCCCCACCCCCAAAGAAAACACACACATACACAAAACACACACTCATAAAATGTGCAATATTCATTCTAAAAACATGCTCAGGATTTCACACCACGACGCAACGACATATAAACCCATATAAGGCGTGTGGAAACTAAACGTCAATAGCGCAACGATAATAATATCTATCTAGCCCGCCAAATGACCATTAAATCATCGTCACAGCTGTCTAAATACAGGTATGATATATGGCGTGACCAGTCCAAGGTAGGCGGAACACGACACCATTTATTCATTAATTACCATTGGAAAGCCGAATGGTAAAGACCAATGTATATCATCTTCCTCAATAAAAGAGCGGTATAATACAAGGATATACTTTATGTCCTTCGTTTTTCAGTACGAGCTTGTATATAATTGCATTACACACTACTCTTTCGTCATTAGTTAAATGCTTATAATGTATAAGTGTATACTTAAATAGGCATCAATTGAGTGTTATGTTTATCAAATTATATCTCGACACGACACTAATTGGTAAAAGGAAGCAAAGTTCCGAAAAATCTCTCATATGACCTTTATTCGGTGATTGATCTCAAAGTTACTCTAGTTATGCCATAGGGTGAGTGACGTGCTACCGTTCACAGATTATGTTTAGTGAGATTATAATTTCAATTTCCCATAAGTGGTCGAATTTCCTATAGATAACTTTGTCATAAGACTTGTCTGTTGAAATAAAAAAATAAAAAATAGCGATCAAACCATTCTAATTCCATAGCAAATACTTTTGGACTTTACCGCTATGAGCAAGTTTCTTTTTTTAATAAAACACTTGAGAAGAATTTCGTTATCTGCCTTTGCCGACATCGATACGAAATACAAACATTTATCCTATCGTTATCTTTAGATATGACATGAATACAACTATGTTCACGCACTAAAGCATTGAACAGAACATTATAAAGTTTCGAATTTGATTCACATTGTTAAAGATTCAACGCATTCGTTTTGATATTAAGCTGAAAATTTGGCAACAATATCTTGTTATTATTAATGCAGAAGATATTTGATAAGGGGTGGCCGATGTAACAAGACAAGAAAAAAATCATATCTGAAAATGTTTCATGTGAACCCGAAATGTTGATGGTCGATGAGCTTGGATAATGTACATGTGTGCCAATATCTCAAAGTTCCACCACACCGGAATCCTAGTAATGGTACTGAGATTGTCTGATGCTGTATTCTGGTACTCTAATTAAATCGCCCCTATCTAATGTCTATGGCCTCCCATCCAATGAAATCGCCCCTATCTAATATATATGGCCTCCCATCCAATGAAATCGCCCCTATCTCATGTCTATCGCATCCCATCCCTTTAATTATCCGATTCCTAATCAATACCATGTTATGACATTTGTAGGATTGTCAATAATTTCTTCCTTCGATTTTATTCTCTACGTAAAAGGGTGACAATGAGCATTATAGTACAATCGATCAAGTACGGTTCATCTTGACATGTCGACTTCAATAATAAATACTGAATTAAATAGACCTGTGTATTCCGATGTTCAGTGATATTTGGTATATACGTTGTTTCCAAGCGGGTGTCGGATAAGACAGGTGTTTTCCAGTTTTAGCTAATGTAAAGCCAAATTCATGCATGTATTTAATTGATATCTTTCACTCGGGACAGAGCTTTGATACAGGAATAATTTTATTGTAAAATTGAAAGATACCTGACGAGCTTGCGAGTGACAAAATGTATCAAACAGGGTTTTAATCATTCAGACCTTTTTGTAAATTGGATCCTAGCGTATGTGAATCTGCTAAGTTATGTATGCATGCTTGACATCTGCATTATTATTTTTAGTTTACTTTACAACTGAAATGAAAGTATAGGCTCTGTGTTATTTTCACGCTCACCATCAACATATTGTCAGTCAATATACATCACGATAACGCTATTTTTATCTTATATATAACTTCGATAAAATCATGCCCTGCCATCGTAACAGTTAACCATTTTCACTTTGACTATTGATATTTGGGGATAAAGGATGCATGAATGTCTTCCTAAAACCTTTGATGCACATCACATTTTACGATTCATTTGTCATTAACAAAACATGCTATTCAAGAGGATTTGTTTCAAAGCTAAAACCAATTAAGTAAACATAATGCCTTACCTCCAGTGACCATCCGTGTGTTTTGACCGGCCGTATTTTGCCCACTGGTCACACTGGTGAATACAACTGCTGCCGCAAAAAGCAATGTCCAACGCCCCATATCGGAACCAAAGGGTGCCCGATACGTTTTGTAATGCCCTTGGCTATTAACTACACCAAACAACTTCTTAACATGTACAATACAATAGCTACTATATATAAATATTTCCTATTCTGCCGCTGATGGATAGTGAAGCCTTAATGTGAGTTTCGGCATTTCTTTCCTTTTTATATTAGTATTCACGGTAATTAATGAGTTCATATGTATAAACAGGATACATGACGAAGGAACAGCGTATGACTGTCCGCAAATCTTTCGCCCACTTCTATGATTGGCTGACAACACCTCTGTCTATCGAACCGGTCCTAAACAGCTTACAGCTGACTATTGCTGGTTTATATAAAGTTGACATTCACGCTGCTCATACTCCTTCGTTTTAATCTAAAGCAAATTTACATCATTTTATTAATTGTAACATTTATTTTGAAATTAGTATAGATTATTTTCTTTCACCTATTAAATGAAGCTGATGTAATACATAGCTCTATGCAGTGATTTCCACGGTGTGTGAGTCGGTACTTCAGTTTAACAATTCCAAAATGGAAGTTTTATCTATTTTTTTACAAGATCGCTTTGATTTGTTTTTTATTTTTATTCATTTTTGTTTTGCTTGACCATATCAACACAAACGGAAAATGCTTAAACTATTGTGATAAAGATAAATGATTCCATATTTGCACATTAAATCTAAACCAACATAAAGATTCAAGCTGAGCATGCTTGTAAGATTTTGACATAGGGGCGTCCTCAACTCTGTAATAAACATGAATGCACATCATAAGAACCGGCGTACTGGTGTGTATTGATTTCGCGACCGCTACGTAAACAATTCATTCAATACGTAGACGAACCTAACTATATCCTACACAGACATTAATACACATATTGTTTTCTACAATTGCTTTGAGATAGTTATTTACCTATTTCTTTTGAAGCGTATTCATGTTTTTTTAAAGACAAACATATATGCAAAGGTCACTTTGTTTCCCAATTTAATTTGCAAAACAACTTTATATCTTTCATGCCAATTTTTTGTTATGATAACTAAATACGTCAAGATGTATTGTTATTATTCAAGATAAGATCAAGGAATTGATTTTATCATTTAATTATAAATATGATGAATTGTCAAAAACATATTTTCCTGCAACTATTTTTAAAATTTGAGTCAATTTGATCAGTTTGAATAGGAACTGATAAGACACATCAAGATGGAAAACATGGCTGACTCGTCGTAAGGAGGCGACATCAAGTACTACCGAAGGAGAAACCTGTCATCCCCTACATACTACACATGGTTGTGATGACAAATGCATAACGAATATCAGGCATCAAAGGTCTAAAACAGTGTTGCGTGATTCGATTTACGTTGATACAAGAACGTTATATTCCTGATGAGCCCTTTAATGGTGGGAGATATTTTAGACTTAAGTCTTCCCTGTCTACTTTACTCGATCACCATACTGTGTCTTGATCGATGGTGACCTGATTACTTTCCTGATTGAATAGGAGACATCATGACAGGTGCCACATGTGGGACAGGAAACATTCACCCTGGACATATGATGTTTTGCCGGTTGTGGGGGTTCATGATGTATTCCCTTCTGTTTTGGTGTATGTTGTTTTCTTATGTATCGATATTGACTTCGGATTAGTACCTGTGGGTTGCTATTGTAGTATATTTTGTCCTTGTGTGTTGAAGTTGTAGTATATATTGGCCTTGTGTGTTGACGTTGAAGTATATTGTGTCCTTGTGTGTTGACGTTGTGGTATATTTTGTCCTTGTGTATTAACATTGACGTAAATTTTGTCTTTGTGTGTAAACATTGTGGTATAAAGTGTGTCCTTGTTTGCTTACGTTGTTTTTGTGTGTTTATGTTTTGGTATATTGTGTACCTGTGTGTTGACGATGTAGTGTTTTTGTCCTTGTGTGCTGACATTGTGGTACATTTTGCCCTGGTGGCTTGAAACGGTGATATATTTTGACCGTATTTGTTGACGACATAGTGTATGCTGTGTTGTCATTGTTCATAATATTTGTGCCTGTGCGTTGACGCTCATTCATTTATAACTTTATTTCGTCAAAAGTATTAAAGTGTGGAACATGTATGAAAACATGGGTACACGTGAGATAAAAATAAAATGTGCAACGAAAATAGACATACAATTTTCAATTGAAGTAAATATCAATTCAAAGGCACAACTCGTTAAATAATAGGCAAGCTAATAAGTCGTAGATAGACAACTACAACAGTATCATTAAAGCTTACATTCACCTGAAAGTTATAGGTAATCTTTAATAAATAAAGTAAGTGATTTGACATCGTCACGAAAGACATCAGAAATCGCAGTGCTTGGAGCGCAAAGTAGAGCAGCAAAACGGATCCTCTATCTTCCTGTTTGAACGGCACCTTAACATGCACGATTTATTTATTTTCCAATTACTACAAATACACATATCGTTATCATCATTTATTTTGAGTGGAATAGTTTATTGAGTTCTCATATACAGATTATTCATAACAGACATGTAACAATGTTCTTTCTATCAGTTTTATCTCAACAGGACGTACCGTATACCTTTATTGTCCTTTAATAAATAAAAGTTCATACATTATCTTAATCAGCGTTTTTAAATTCTTGAGTATTAACATCAAAGAGAGGTAAATTATTAAAAAATGAAATAGGTAGAATACGATTAAATCATTAGTACAAAGACACATATTTCAAATATTTTATTGTGTAAAAAGCAGCTATTTGCTCACATTTAAAATTCGCAAATATTATGTGTTTTTTTAATCAGAGTCACGTAATTCAGAAATACATTTCAACATTTAAATATTTACGATATTAATGCATTTGTTCTAAGATAACTCCATCTCAAGCAATATACTTGTTTTGTCTTGAACATTGAAATCTTTCTATACAATCGGACAACGATAGCATATCAAGCAAAAACGGATTTTGAGAATCTCAATTAGGTTTCCTAACGAAAATCAATATTTTTAACTCAACTAAGAATTAGCATTGCTATCAACAAGCACTATTTAATTTTTACACTAAGAAAGTATCCTTGTATCATTAAAACAAATTGTTAGTTAGTTGTATTTCTATCCAAACACTTTAAACCTAACGCAAATAAAATAAATCAAAACCAATCATTTTAAATATAAACATAAGTTTAAAATTTATTAACAAAACCCTGTCAATTGTTGTGTAATATACGGTAAAATTGTGTTCACCATACCATTGTTTTCGAACATATATATTTTTTATTCATTAGACTAACTTATAGGGCATTCATTTCATTTTCAATAACTCATTTGTTTTACTGACTGTATCATAAACAGACACGTGACATATTGGAATGTTTGTGTGTCAATGTGTGTATTTGTGTGTGTTAAATCAAATATACCCCCACCCTTTAATGATCACAGTATAACCCTTTGAAATGTCATCATAAATCGTATCCCTGTCAATGAAGCGGGCTAATTGACGCTAATAGCTTTAAAGAGGCGTAAGTCCGGGGTTATCGGGACGAGAATCTGGCACCTGGTTGTGGCCGATATAGGCCCCTTGATCGTTGGACAAGACATAGTCCAGTTCCGTTCCATTGTCTACTGTGTTAGGGACATAAAAATAAACATTGCCTTGGTAAAAAGTCCATGGAATTTTTTGAGCTTACAACAGGTATGCCGTTTTTCAAAGTGTGATAATCGAATGAAACAAAACTTTATATCATATTAATTCCGAGTGGCCATTTGTTCGGATCATTGGTGTTAATTTTAAACTGGCTTAATATCAAGTGGCCTAATACAAGTTTGTTCACCCCCACCTTTCATCTCCCCTACCTTACATAAACCTTTGAACTACCCCCACCTCACACCACCACTTGTCCTGATCAACGGTGAACTTAAGTTTTCAGAAGACTGTTTAGTGTGGTTGTGCTTTGACTATTGTGTTATTTGCTTAAGTTTCAATATACATGTATCATATTTATAAAATTCCTATTCACAACTATAAAGGAAAACATGAAAATGGACACGCGTATTGTTTTTTCATTAACATTTCATTTTTTAAATTCATGATAAATATTTGGACAAATAAATTATCTTAATATGAAGAAGTAAGGAAATAGTTAATTCACTTACAAATGAAAAAGTCTCAATTTATTATTTTATCGAGACATCGGATCCAAATCCTCAAATATCGGTCTTCCCAAACTAGTTTATCCACACATTATTTCCCATTTTACCCCCTCTCCTTTACAGAGCAAGGCGTATATACAGGTGTTACAATGTTAATCGTGTAGAAGTCTTGAGCTTCAATTCTTACGTACATTGGAGAAGAAAAACGCAATCGCAATTCAAAACTTATTTCGGGAATGTTATTGAGTCAAAATTGAGCAATAAACAAGTATCTACCCTTTCGCGAGGTAAGAATATCGTAAAAGCATATCTTGTGATAAGTACAACCAGGAAAACAGGTTTTGGATTAAGTCATGTCATTCGCTGTAGCTGATACAATCATTTATTTGGTGAAGATCATTATTTGGAGGCCAAGAGTTGTAACTACGTTTTCGTTACAAATAAAATCAGTTATACATATTGTATGGACAGTATGTTTATATAGTTCTAATAAAACTGTTTTTTAATTTGCTTCAGTATATTAAAAATGAATTGCAAAAATATTATTAATTTTTGTTTACAAGTGTTTTGCAGAGTAAGTATGTGAAATGACTAATAAGGTTTTCAAGATGAAACTGCGTAAAATGCAACCATCTGTTATGATAAAAATTATATCAGTTTTTCAAGTTATTGTTTATATATAATTGACTTCGTACTGTAGTTTATTTTTAATTTTCACTGACAAGGTCTTGAACAGGAGCAATGGAGATATCAAAACGAAGGAAAGACAGCATTAGAAACCACGGATGTACCAAAAACAAAATGGTAGACAGCAACAGAACAGGAGCAAGGGAAATAGCCAAAATAAAAAGTATCATGAACACAAACATAAAAACGAAAGCGAAAACACGTAGTCCGCAAGCGTTTCCTCCACCAAATGTGACACCCGTCACATCAATGTACATTTCTATGTTACAAACGTTTCGGAATCTGAAGTGACAGATTCATAGTTATTATACGGACGTTC